ACAGATTTGAGTAGATAAGATGTGATCAGTAGCAATATGTCATCGGAGGGACATTCCATTGTCATTAGTGATGTATATACTGTAGGGACATTCCATTGTCATTAGTGATGTATATACTGTAGGGACATTCCATTGTCATTAGTGATGTATATACTGTAGGGACATTCCATTGTCATTAGTGATGTATATACTGTAGGGACATTCCATTGTCATTAGTGATGTATATACTGTAGGGACATTCCATTGTCATTAGTGATGTATATACTGTAGGGACATTCCATTGTCATTAGTGATGTATATTCTGCAGGGACATTCCATTGTCATTAGTGATGTATATTCTGCAGGGACATTCCATTGTCATTGGGGGAAATGAGGGACTCAGACACAGAGACATCAATTAGGCTGAAAAGCCCCGGCTCCTGGATGTGACACCTTTGTACTAATAAGGTTGTCACCTTCTGGGGAAACTGGTTTTAGGAGGAAGTGGCTCCAGACATTCCGGCTTCATGACAGCGAGGGGGGGATGCTGCCCCGATCTGTCTGGGGGGGTAAAAGTGTCTCCACCCATCACTGAAGTACGTTCCATCCCTCATAACAGCGAGGGGGGGGGGCCCGATCTGTCTGGGGGGTAAAAGTGTCTCCACCCATCACAGAAGTACGTTCCATCCCTCATAACAGCGAGGGGGGGGGGCCGAGGGGGGGGGGCCCGATCTGTCTGGGGGGTAAAAGTGTCTCCACCCATCACAGAAGTACGTTCCATCCCTCATAACAGCGAGGGGGGGGGCCCTGAGGGGGGGGGGCAGCCCGATCTGTCTGGGGGGTAAAAGTGTCTCCACCCATCACAGAAGTACGTTCCATCCCTCATAACAGCGAGGGGGGGGCCCGAGGGGGGGGTGCCCCGATCTGTCTGGGGGGTAAAAGTGTCTCCACCCATCACAGAAGTACGTTCCATCCCTCATAACAGCGAGGGGGGGGTGCCCCGAGGGGGGGGGGAGCCCCGATCTGTCTGGGGGGTAAAAGTGTCTCCACCCATCACAGAAGTACGTTCCATCCCTCATAACAGCGAGGGGGGTGGGCCCGAGGGGGGGGGGCCCGATCTGTCTGGGGGGTAAAAGTGTCTCCACCCATCACAGAAGTACGTTCCATCCCTCATAACAGTGAGGGGGGGGCCCGAGGGGGGGGGGCCCGATCTGTCTGGGGGGTAAAAGTGTCTCCACCCATCACAGAAGTACGTTCCATCCCTCATAACAGCGAGGGGGTGGGCCCGAGGGGGGGGGCCCAATCTGTCTGGGGGGTAAAAGTGTCTCCACCCATCACAGAAGTACGTTCCATCCCTCATAACAGTGAGGGGGGGGCCCGAGGGGGGGGGGCCCGATCTGTCTGGGGGGTAAAAGTGTCTCCACCCATCACTGAAGTACGTTCCATCCCTCATAACAGCTGAGTCTGAGTTGGAGAGATGAACATACTCCCTTCTTGTAGGGCGCTCTGTGCGCTGCATCTGCATATAACAATCATATTTGTGGCTTGGGGAGGAGCCAGGGAAATGCATGGAATGGTTAGATGACGCGGGGGGGGCGACAGTCGGATGGTGTTTGGTACTGTTGCGATCGGGCTGACGCGCTGGTGTCAGAAATCCAATCCCCGACTTGGTGTTCAGGCCAGTCTCGGCCCAATTGAACTTGGGCAGGTCCATACACAGTACCTCTTGTGGGCAGGTCAGGACCACCTCCCCCAGAAGCAATTGGCCGAAGACTAATATCCCGCCCATGTCCAAATCCCAATAAATGGAGTCCCCGGACATCGGGACATTTGTGATTGGTATGGAGCCGGTTGATCGACCAGCAGATTGCTGACTCTCTGACTGGCTCCAGTCGCAGGATAGATCTCAGTAAACGTTTTTATTCCCGTTTATTTTTTATAGTGACGTCATTTGTGTGTCTTCTCGTATTTCTGAAACTTTTTATATTTTATACATATTTTATGCCCCGCCCACTTTCAGGAAATTAAATCATAAAATTAATTAGTGACTTCTGTGTATTTAAACTCGGGGTCAGATCTCCGGAGAGATCAGATTGGAGGGATTAGATTGGATTGTATTTTAGTGCCTTTAAACGCTCGGTCAGCTCATTGCCAATCTGTATGCAATTGCACTGTGTGTGGGCAGATTGAATACAGATTGTAAAGGTAACAGATCTGCCAGACGGAGATCTGTGTGTGAGGGGTGTCTCAACAGACCGTTCTGCGGATAAACTGTTGGGTGGTGGCAGGCTACCTTTGTGGTGCGTCTGGTGTGGGGGTGTGTCTGGTGTGGGGGGAGGGGTGTGTCTGGTGTGGGGGGGTGTGGGGGAGGGGTGTGTCTGGTGTAGGGGTGTGTCTGGTGTGGAGGTGTGTGGGGGGGGGGGTGTGTCTGGTGTGGGGGGGGGTGGACAGTGGAAGGGTGTGATTACTAAGCTGCTCCTCCCCTCAGTGCACCAGATTGTATGTAAGATTTGTATCTGCAGTGTGTGGTCAGCCCTCTGGATTGTAGTGGAGTCTCCCCCCGGTGGTGGGCGGAGGTAGTGCGGGGTGTGGTCAGCCCTCTGGATTGTAGTGGAGTCTCCCCCCGGTGGTGGGCGGAGGTAGTGCGGGGTGTGGTCAGCCCTCTGGATTGTAGTGGAGTCTCCCCCGGTGGTGGGCAGAGGTAGTGCGGGGTGTGGTCAGCCCTCTGGATTGTAGTGGAGTCTCCCCCCGGTGGTGGGCGGAGGTAGTGCGGGGTGTGGTCAGCCCTCTGGATTGTAGTGGAGTCTCCCCCCGGTGGTGGGCAGAGGTAGTGCGGGGTGTGGTCAGCCCTCTGGATTGGAGTGGAGTCTCCCCCGGTGGTGGGCGGAGGTAGTGCGGGGTGTGGTCAGCCCTCTGGATTGTAGTGGAGTCTCCCCCGGTGGTGGGCGGAGGTAGTGCAGCTGTGGAAGGATCTCCCGGCTGGTCTTATATACGGATTATATATCAGAGTTCAGTCCCCTTTATCCCCTCGTTACCCCAAGTCACCGCCACACGTGTGCACCTCGGATAGCTAGTCACTGGGGGCGGGGCCTGTGGGGAATCTGTGACAGGGGGGCGTGACATATCATCAGTTATACACATCAGAGTCAACAGGGTCCCCCCTATCACAACCAATCTGTCATGCCCCGCCCCCAGCGACTAGCTATCCGAGGAGCACACGTGGGGCGGTGACTTGGGGTAATGAGGGAATAAAGGGGACTGAACTCTGATATATAATCCGTATATAAGACCAGCCGGGAGATCCTTCCACAGCTGCACTACCTCTGCCCACCACCGGGGGGAGACTCCACTACAATCCAGAGGGCTGACCACACCCCGCACTACCTCCGCCCACCACCGGGGGGAGACTCCACTACAATCCAGAGGGCTGACCACACCCCGCACTACCTCCGCCCACCACCGGGGGAGACTCCACTACAATCCAGAGGGCTGACCACACCCCGCACTACCTCCGCCCACCACCGGGGGAGACTCCACTACAATCCAAAGGGCTGACCACACCCCGCACTACCTCCGCCCACCACCGGGGGGAGACTCCACTCCAATCCAGAGGGCTGACCACACCCCGCACTACCTCCGCCCACCACCGGGGGGAGACTCCACTACAATCCAGAGGGCTGACCACACCCCGCACTACCTCTGCCCACCACCGGGGGGAGACTCCACTACAATCCAAAGGGCTGACCACACCCCACACTACCTCCGCCCACCACCGGGGGGAGACTCCACTCCAATCCAGAGGGCTGACCACACCTCGCACTACCTCCGCCCACCACCGGGGGGAGACTCCACTACAATCCAAAGGGCTGACCACACCCCACACTACCTCCGCCCACCACCGGGGGGAGACTCCACTCCAATCCAGAGGGCTGACCACACCTCGCACTACCTCCGCCCACCACCGGGGGGAGACTCCACTCCAATCCAGAGGGCTGACCACACCCCGCACTACCTCCGCCCACCACCGGGGGGAGACTCCACTCCAATCCAGAGGGCTGACCACACCCCGCACTACCTCTGCCCACCACCGGGGGGAGACTCCACTACAATCCAGAGGGCTGACCACACCCCGCACTACCTCCGCCCACCACCGGGGGGAGACTCCACTACAATCCAGAGGGCTGACCACACCCCGCACTACCTCCGCCCACCACCGGGGGGAGACTCCACTACAATCCAGAGGGCTGACCACACCCCGCACTACCTCCGCCCACCACCGGGGGGAGACTCCACTCCAATCCAGAGGGATGACCACACCCCGCACTACCTCTGCCCACCACCGGGGGGAGACTCCACTACAATCCAGAGGGCTGAATACACACTGCAGATACAAATCTTACATACAATCTGCTGCACTGATTAGAGGGGAGGAGCTTAGTAATCACACCCTTCTAGGGTCCACCCCCCCCACCAGACACACCCCTCCCCCCCACACCAGACACACTCCTCCCCCACACCACAAAGGTAGCCTGCCACCACCCAACAGTTTTTATCCGCAGAACGGTCTGTTGAGACACCCCACACACACAGATCTCCGTCTGGCAGATCTGTTACCTTTGCAATCTGTGTACAATCTGCCCACACACAGTGCAGTTGCATACAGATTGGCAATAAGCTGACCGAGCGTTTAAAGGCACTAAAATACAATACAATATAATCCCTCCAATCTAATCACTCCAATCTAATCCCTCCAATCCAATCCCTCCGGAGATATGAGCCCGAGCTTAAATACACAGAAGTCACTAATTAATTTTATGATTTAATTCCCCAAAGTGGGCGGGGCATAAAATATGTACAAAGTATAAAAAGTTTCAGAAATACGAGAAGACACACAAATGACGTCACTATAAAATAAACGGGAATAAAACGTTTACTGAGATCTATCCTGCGACTGGAGCCAGTCAGAGAGTCGGCAATCTGCTGGTCGATCAACCGGCTCCATACCAATCACAAATGTCCCGATGTCCGGGGACTCCATTTATGGGGATATGGACGTAGGCGGGACATTAGTCCTCGGCCAATTGACTCTGGGAGGTGGTCCTGTACCCGCCCACAGGATGTTCTGGGCGCTGACCTGCCCAAGTTCAGTTGGGCCGAGACTGGCCTGAACACCAAGTTGGGGATTGGATTTCTGACACCAGCGCATCGGCCCCGATCGCAACAGTACCAAACACCATCCGACTGTCACCATCCAGCGTCACCATCCGACTGTCACCATCCGACTGTCACCATCCGACTGTCACCATCCAGCGTCACCATCCGACTGTCACCATCCAGCGTCACCATCCGACTGTCACCATCCAGCGTCACCATCCGACTGTCACCATCCGACTGTCACCATCCGACTGTCACCATCCGACTGTCACCATCCAGCGTCACCATCCGACTGTCACCATCAGACTGTCACCATCAGACTGTCACCATCAGACTGTCACCATCCAGCGTCACCATCAGACTGTCACCATCCGACTGTCACCATCCGACTGTCACCATCCAGCGTCACCATCCGACTGTCACCATCCAGCGTCACCATCCGACTGTCACCATCCGACTGTCACCATCCAGTGTCACCATCCAGCGTCACCATCAGACTGTCACCATCCGACTGTCACCATCCAGCGTCACCATCCAACTGTCACCATCCAGCGTCACCATCCGACTGTCACCATCAGACTGTCACCATCCGACTGTCACCATCCAGCGTCACCCATCCAGCGTCACCATCAGACTGTCACCATCCGACTGTCACCATCCAGCGTCACCATCCGACTGTCACCATCCGACTGTCACCATCCGACTGTCACCATCCAGCGTCACCATCCGACTGTCACCATCAGACTGTCACCATCCAGCGTCACCATCCAGCGTCACCATCAGACTGTCACCATCCGACTGTCACCATCCGACTGTCACCATCCAGCGTCACCATCCGACTGTCACCATCCAGCGTCACCATCCGACTGTCACCATCCGACTGTCACCATCCAGCGTCACCATCCGACTGTCACCATCCGACTGTCACCATCCAGTGTCACCATCCAGCGTCACCATCCGACTGTCACCATCAGACTGTCACCATCCGACTGTCACCATCCAGCGTCACCATCAGACTGTCACCATCCGACTGTCACCATCCGACTGTCACCATCCAGCGTCACCATCCGACTGTCACCATCCGACTGTCACCATCCGACTGTCACCATCCGACTGTCACCATCAGACTGTCACCATCTGACTGTCACCATCCAGCGTCACCATCCGACTGTCACCATCCAGCGTCACCATCCGACTGTCACCATCCAGCGTCACCATCCGACTGTCACCATCCGACTGTCACCATCCAGCGTCACCATCTGACTGTCACCATCCAGCGTCACCATCAGACTGTCACCATCCAGCGTCACCATCCGACTGTCACCATCCAGCGTCACCATCCGACTGTCACCATCCGACTGTCACCATCCAGCGTCACCATCCGACTGTCACCATCCGACTGTCACCATCCGACTGTCACCATCCAGCGTCACCATCCGACTGTCACCATCCGACTGTCACCATCCAGCGTCACCATCCGACTGTCACCATCAGACTGTCACCATCCAGCGTCACCATCCGACTGTCACCATCCAGCGTCACCATCAGACTGTCACCATCAGACTGTCACCATCCGACTGTCACCATCAGACTGTCACCATCAGACTGTCACCATCCAGCGTCACCATCAGACTGTCACCATCCAGCGTCACCATCAGACTGTCACCATCAGACCGTCACCATCCAGCATCACCATCCGACTGTCACCATCCAGCGTCACCATCCGACTGTCACCATCCAGCGTCACCATCCGACTGTCACCATCAGACTGTCACCATCCGACTGTCACCATCCGACTGTCACCATCCGACTGTCACCATCCAGCGTCACCATCAGACTGTCACCATCAGACCGTCACCATCCAGCATCACCATCCGACTGTCACCATCCAGCGTCACCATCCGACTGTCACCATCCAGCGTCACCATCCGACTGTCACCATCCGACTGTCACCATCCGACTGTCACCATCCGACTGTCACCATCCAGCGTCACCATCCGACTGTCACCATCCGACTGTCACCATCCAGCGTCACCATCCGACTGTCACCATCCGACTGTCACCATCCGACTGTCACCATCAGACTGTCACCATCCGACTGTCACCATCAGACTGTCACCATCCGACTGTCACCATCAGACTGTCACCATCCGACTGTCACCATCCAGCGTCACCATCCAGCGTCACCATCTGACTGTCACCATCCAACTGTCACCATCCAGCGTCTCCATCCGACTGTCACCATCCAGCGTCACCATCTGACTGTCACCATCCGACTGTCACCATCCAACTGTCACCATCCAGCGTCACCATCTGACTGTCACCATCCAACTGTCACCATCCAGCGTCTCCATCCGACTGTCACCATCCGACTGTCACCATCCGACTGTCACCTAACCATTTCCTGGCTCCTCCCCAATCCACAAACATGATTGTTATATACAAATGCAGCGCACAGAGCGCCCTACAAGAAGGGAGTATGTTCATCTCTCTGCAACTCAGACTCAGCTGTTATGAGGGATGGAACGTACTTCTGTGATAGGTGGAGACACTTTTACCCCCCAGACAGATCGGGGCCCCCCCCCCCCTCGGGGCCCCCCCCCCTCACTGTTATGAGGGATGGAACGTACTTCTGTGATAGGTGGAGACACTTTTACCCCCCAGACAGATCGGGCCCCCCCCCCTTGGGCCACCCCCCCCTCGCTGTTATGAAGCCGGAATGTCTGGAGCCATTTCCTCCTAAACCAGTTTCTCCAGAAGGTGACAACCTTATTAGTACAAAGGTGTCACCTCCAGGAGGCGGGGCTTTTCAGCCACCAATTGATGCCTCTGTGTCTGAGTCCCTCACCCCCCCATGACAAGGACTGATACATCACTAATGACAATGGAATGTCCCTCCAATGACATCTTATCTACTCAAATCTGTACATGTATGTCACATGTGCGTTACACCGCCTCTACATCAGAGTCCCCAGGGTTCCCCTTACACAGGAGTCCGCAGGGTTCCCCCTTACACAGGAGTCCCCAGGGTTCCCCCTTACATAGGAGTCCCCAGGGTTCCCCCTTACATAGGAGTCCCCAGGGTTCCCCTTACACAGGAGTCCCCAGGGTTCCCCTTACATAGGAGTCCGCAGGGTCCCCCCTTACATAGGAGTCCCCAGGGTTCCCCTTACATAGGAGTCCCCAGGGTTCCCCCTTACATAGGAGTCCCCAGGGTCCCCCCTTACATAGGAGTCCCCAGGGTCCCCCCTTACATAGGAGTCCCCAGGGTTCCCCTTACATAGGAGTCCCCAGGGTTCCCCCTTACACAGGAGTCCGCAGGGTCCCCCTTACATAGGAGTCCCCAGGGTTCCCCCTTACATAGGAGTCCCCAGGGTTCCCCCTTACATAGGAGTCCCCAGGGTTCCCCTTACATAGGAGTCCCCAGGGTTCCCCCTTACATAGGAGTCCGCAGGGTTCCCCTTACATAGGAGTCCCCAGGGTTCCCCCTTACACAGGGTTCCTCCTCTGGAGATCTCTATGGTGACTGAGCTCAGACTGGGGGAGGGGAGCAGTACAGGGAGGTCATGTGATTTGATGAGGGGCGGAGCAGTGTAAGTCTCAGGTCTGGATGGACAGAACCCGGTAGCCCCGCCCACTTACGTCTTTCCCGCCTTTTTTGTGTTTAGGAAGTAGGGTGGCGGCCACCGCCTCTCCCACGTAGTGGGCGGAGTCTCAGCAGAGCGGTTAAAGATGTCATTACGCACGGCGTGTAGTGGGCGGAGTGCCGGCATGTGACGTCACCAAAGATGGTGGTGGGCGCCTTTCCCATAGCTAAGCTCCTGTATCTGGGGGTCCGGCAGATCAGCAAGCCGCTGGCCAACCGGATTAAGGCGGGGGCCCGCCGGAGCGACTTCTTCCGGACCTACGTCTGCCTTCCGCCTGCCCAGTGTAAGTCCGGGGGCCGGGCCGCTTTAACGGGAGGGACTACCGGGGGGCGGGCCAATAGGAGGCGAGGTAAGAGCGAGCCGGCCAATCACAGCGAGACGTCTTAAGGCGAGCGGCAACTCACATGGTTGCTGGGAGAGGTCACCCTGTGTGCTGGACTGAGCTACTGTGTATTTACCGCCCCACCCTGTGTACTTACCACCCACACACTGTGTATTTACCCGCCCCCACCCTGTGTACTTACCACCCTCACACTGTGTATTTACCGCCCCCACCCTGTGTACTTACCACCCTCACACTGTGTATTTACCGCCCCCACCCTGTGTACTTACCACCCTCACACTGTGTATTTACCGCCCCCACCCTGTGTACTTATCACCCCTTCTCTACACACTGTATTTACCGCCCCCCACCCTGTGATTACTGCCCCCCCCCTCCACACACCATGTACTTACCTCCCCCCTCGCCCTGTGTACCTACACCTCTCCCCCCCCCCCCCCCCCTCGCCCTGTGTACCTACACCTCCCCCCCCTCGCCCTGTGTACCTACACCTCTTCCCCCCCCCCCCCCCCGCCCTCGCCCTGTGTGCCTACACCTCCCCCCCTCGCCCTGTGTACCTCCCCCCCTCGCCCTGTGTACCTCCCCCCCCCCCCCCCCCCCCCTCGCCCTGTGTACCTCCCCCCTCGCCCTGTGTACCCCCCCCCCCCCCCCCCCCCTCGCCCTGTGTGCCTACACCTACCTCCCCCCCCCCCCCCCCCCCCCCCCCCCCCCCCCCCCTCGCCCTGTGTACCTACACCTACCCCCCCCCTCGCCCTGTGTACCTACACCTCCCCCCCCGATGTCCTCCTGTCTGTACACATCGCCCTCTACAGGCAGTGGAGGTTAGTTGTTTTTTTTGAACGCACCAAACTTGTGTTCAGGAGGAGATTTTACCGGTGAATTGATCAGCGTTCGGTCAGAGACATACGTCCTCCAATGAGCATCTGAAAGGACAGAGCAGCTTCTAGGCTGGAGGTGACACCTGGATGCCCAATAAAACGTTGTCACCGATGTAGTCAGTCTGACACCTTCCTGAAGTCTAAAAGAGGAGCTCTAGACATTTCGGCTTCGGGAAGCAGCAGGAGACCAGGAGAGGGACCAGGAGGAGCTCTGGAATGTCTGGCGGGAGGAGGAGCTCTGGAATGTCTGGCGGGAGGAGGAGCTCTGGAATGTCTGGCGGGAGGAGGAGCTCTGGAATGTCTGGCGGGAGGAGGAGCTCTGGAATGTCTGGCGGGAGGAGGAGCTCTGGAATGTCTGGCGGGAGGAGGAGCTCTGGAATGTCTGGCGGGAGGAGGAGCTCTGGAATGTCTGGCGGGAGGAGGAGCTCTGGAATGTCTGGCGGGAGGAGGAGCTCTGGAATGTCTGGCGGGAGGAGGAGCTCCGGAATGTCTGGCGGGAGGAGGAGCTCCGGAATGTCTGGCGGGGGGAGGAGCTCCGGAATGTCTGGCGGGGGGAGGAGCTCCGGAATGTCTGGCGGGGGGAGGAGCTCCGGAATGTCTGGCAGAGGAGGTAGGAGGAGCTCTGGAATGTCTGGCAGGAGGAGGAGCTCCGGAATGTCTGGCAGAGGCGGGAGGAGTCTTGGAATGTCTGGCGGGAGGAGGAGCTCTGGAATGTCTGGCGGGAGGAGGAGCTCTGGAATGTCTGGCGGGAGGAGGAGCTCCGGAATGTCTGGCGGGAGGAGGAGCTCCGGAATGTCTGGCGGGAGGAGGAGCTCCGGAATGTCTGGCGGGAGGAGGAGCTCCGGAATGTCTGGCAGAGGCGGGAGGAGGAGCTCCGGAATGTCTGGCAGAGGCGGGAGGAGTCTTGGAATGTCTGGTGGGAGGAGGAGCTCCGGAATGTCTGGCGGGGGGAGGAGCTCCGGAATGTCTGGCGGGGGGAGGAGCTCCGGAATGTCTGGCGGGGGGAGGAGCTCCGGAATGTCTGGCGGGGGGAGGAGCTCCGGAATGTCTGGCGGGAGGGAGGAGCTCCGGAATGTCTGGCGGGGGGAGGAGCTCCGGAATGTCTGGCGGGGGGAGGAGCTCCGGAATGTCTGGCAGAGGAGGTAGGAGGAGCTCTGGAATGTCTGGCGGGAGGAGGAGCTCCGGAATGTCTGGCAGAGGCGGGAGGAGTCTTGGAATGTCTGGCGGGAGGAGGAGCTCTGGAATGTCTGGCGGGAGGAGGAGCTCTGGAATGTCTGGCGGGAGGAGGAGCTCTGGAATGTCTGGCAGAGGCGGGAGGAGGAGCTCCGGAATGTCTGGCAGAGGCGGGAGGAGTCTTGGAATGTCTGGTGGGAGGAGGAGCTCCGGAATGTCTGGCGGGGGGAGGAGCTCCGGAATGTCTGGCGGGGGGAGGAGCTCCGGAATGTCTGGCGGGGGGAGGAGCTCCGGAATGTCTGGCGGGGGAGGAGCTCCGGAATGTCTGGCGGGGGGAGGAGCTCCGGAATGTCTGGCGGGGGGAGGAGCTCCGGAATGTCTGGCGGGGGGAGGAGCTCCGGAATGTCTGGCAGAGGAGGAGGAGGAGCTCTGGAATGTCTGGCAGGAGGAGGAGCTCCGGGAATGTCTGGCAGAGGGGGAGGAGTCTTGGAATGTCTGGCGGGAGGAGGAGCTCTGGAATGTCTGGCGGGGGAGGAGCTCTGGAATGTCTGGCGGGGAGGAGCTCTGGAATGTCTGGCGGGAGGAGGAGCTCTGGAATGTCTGGCGGGAGGAGGAGCTCTGGAATGTCTGGCGGGAGGAGGAGCTCTGGAATGTCTGGCGGGAGGAGGAGCTCTGGAATGTCTGCGGGAGGAGGAGCTCTGGAATGTCTGGCGGGAGGAGGAGCTCTGGAATGTCTGGCGGGAGGAGGAGCTCTGGAATGTCTGGCGGGAGGAGGAGCTCTGGAATGTCTGGCAGAGGCGGGAGGAGGAGCTCCGGAATGTCTGGCAGAGGCGGGAGGAGTCTTGGAATGTCTGGCAGAGGTGGGAGGAGGAGCTCCGGAATGTCTGGCAGAGGTGGGAGGAGGAGCTCCGGAATGTCTGGCAGAGGCGGGAGGAGGAGCTCCGGAATGTCTGGCAGAGGCGGGAGGAGTCTTGGAATGTCTGGCGGGAGGAGGAGCTCCGGAATGTCTGGCGGGAGGAGGAGCTCCGGAATGTCTGGCGGGGGGAGGGAGCTCTGGAATGTCTGGCGGTGGGGGAGGAGGAGCTCCGGAATGTCTGGCGGGGGGAGGAGCTCCGGAATGTCTGGCAGGGGGGAGGAGCTCTCGGAATGTCTGGCGGAATGGCGGAGGAGGAGCTCCGGAATGTCTGGCGGGAGGAGGAGCTCCGGAATGTCTGGGGGAGGAGAGCTCCGGAATGTCTGGCGGGAGGAGGAGCTCCGGAATGTCTGGCGGGGGGAGGAGCTCCGGAATGTCTGGCAGAGGAGGTAGGAGGAGCTCCGGAATGTCTGGCGGGGAGGAGGAGCTCCGGAATGTCTGGCAGAGGAGGAGGAGTCTCCGGAATGTCTGGCGGGAGGAGGAGCTCTGGAATGTCTGGCGGGGGGAGAGCTCCTGGAATGTCTGGCGGGGGGAGGAGCTCCGGAATGGGAGGAGGAGGAGCTCCGGAATGTCTGGCGGGGGGAGGAGCTCCGAATGTCTGGCGGGAGGAGGAGCCTCCGGAATGTCTGTCTGGGGGGAGGAGGAGCTCTGGAATGTCTGGCGGGAGGAGGAGCTCTGGAATGTTCAGAGGCGGGAGGAGCTCTGGAATGTCTGGCGGGAGGAGGAGCTCTGGAATGTCTGGCGGGAGGAGGAGCTCGGAATGTCTGGCGGGAGGAGGAGCTCCGGAACCCCCTCTCCCCCCCCCCATGCCGTGACTTACCGCCCCCCCCCCCCCAAAAGGCCCGTGTACTTACCCCCCCCCTCCTTCCCCTTGCCGTGTACTTTCCGCCCCCCTCCCCCCCCCACAAAAGCCAATAACTTACTGCCCCCCCCCTCTCTCCCCCCACATGCCTGTACTTTCCGCCCCCTCTCTCCCCCCACATGCCGTTACTTTCCCCCCCCCTCCCCCCCACATGCCGGTTACAAACCGCCCCCCCCCCCCCCACACCCCCCATTTTAAATTTCGCCGCCCCCCCTCTCCCCCCCCAGGCCTGTACTTACCGCCCCCCTCCCCCCCCCCCAAAAACCCATTAACTTACTGCCCCCCCTCCCCCCCACCAAAAAAAAAGTGTACTTGCCGCCCCCTCTCTCCCCCCCCCAGAAGTGTTATTCCCCCCCCCCCCATAGTGGGTGTTGTTTGTAGAGTTTTTTCCTCTGGGGGATGTCATTGGATGATTTATAGCAAAAGTAGAGCATATGGGGGGGGGGGTCAGTGGGGGGGGGGAGGGGGGCAGTGTGATGTTAGGGAGGGCAGTGGGGGGGAGGGGTCAGGTTAGGGGGGGGGGCCCGTGTGGGGGGGGGGGTCACTTCATACATTCCAAAACCCGAGGTATATATACTTTTTAGAGAAGAGTTCCGCATCTCCTCTTTTGATTGGAGGGGGGTAATGTGAGGGGGGGGGGACACATCCGCACCATGGATACATTAACCTTCACTATGAACTCACGGGGGGGGGGGGGGGGGGGGGGGGAATCTCCCCACCGGGGGAAAAGGGGGGGGGGGGGGAAAATTCCCCACCGGGGAACAGGGGGGGGGGGGGAAATCTCCCTAAACCCCGGGGGGAAAAAGGGGGGGGGGAAATCTCCCAACCGGGGAACGGGGGGGGGGGGGGGAATCTCCCCACCGGGGGGAAAAGGGGTGGGGGGGGGGAATTCCCTACCGGGGGAACACGGGGTGGGGGGGGGGAATTCCTACCGGGGGAACACGGGTGGGGGGAGGGGAAACCCCTACCGGGGGAACAGGGGGGGGGGGGGGGGGGGAAACCCCTACCGGGGAAACTGGTGGGGGGGAACTCCCACCGGGGAAAAACGGGGTGGGGGGGGGGGAATCTCCCTACCGGGGAAAACAACGGGGGGGGGGGGGGGAGGGAAACTCCCCAAACCGGGGGGGAAAAGGGGGGGGGGAAAAAAAAAAAAAAAACTCCCTAAAAAACCGGGGGGAAAACGGGGGGGGTGGGGGGGAAACTCCCTACCGGGGGAACACGGGGGGGGGGGGGAGGGAATCTCCCCACCGGGGGAACACGGGGGGGGGGAGGGAAAAAAACTCCCTACCCCGGGGGAACACGGGGTGGGGGGGGGGGGAAACTCCCTACCGGGGAACACGGGTGGGGGGGGGGAAACCGGAAAAGCAATAATACCCCGGGGGGGGTCTAGGCCCCCCCCCCCTCCACTAAAAAATCAAGGTTTTTAAATTTTGAGACAACAAACCCCCCAATAAAAAATAAATGTTCAAAATCCATCAAAACCCCCCACCCCGCGGACCCCCCCCCCCCCCTGCGGCCCCCCCCCCTGCGGAGCCCCCCGCCCTGCGGAGGGCCCCCCCACCCCAGACAAATTTTCTACAATCCCATCCCGGGGGACTGAAGGGGGCCCAAAAAGTCCAAGGGGTGGTTTTTTTTTTAAACCCCCTCAACCCCAGCCCCTACAGCGCCCCCCTCTAAAGCTGATTTGGGAAGGGGGGAATATTTGTTTTAAAATCTAATTTTTTTTTTTTTTCTTTTTACTTCCCCGTCTTAGAGTGTAACTCCTCTGGTTTCAGAGACTGAAAATTTACTGTGGGGGGGGGGGACATTAGAGTGTAAGCTCCTCTGGTTCAAAAGACTGATGGACCCGTGGGGGAGGGGGCATTAGAGTGAAAACTCCTCTGTACAAGAAATGATGGACTTTTCGGGGGGGGACATTAAAAATTTTTAAGCTCCCCCCTTGGGACAGAACTTTATGTGACTGGGGGGAGGGGGCATTAGGGGTGAAGCCCTCTGTAAAAGAGGGCCCGATGTGACTTGTGGGGGGGGGGGAAAAAATTTGAGTGTAACTCCTCTGTACAGAACTGATTGAAATTTTTTTGGGGGGGGACATTAGAGTGTAAAACCTCCTCGTACAGAGACTATGTGGGCTGTGGGGGAGGGAAAATTAGAGTGGGAAGCTCCTCGTAAAAGAGACCGGGTGGGGCTGTGG